GTTGCCGGACACGAGAAAAGACAAAAAAAAAAAAAAAAAAGAATATTTACAAAATTGATAACAAGAAAGACCTGAATAAATTCCAAGACATATTAATAAAGCAGACAACATTGTATGATTACAATCCAAAAGCTAGAAATTGATAATGGAATCAGAAGAACAAACCCTACCACCTGGGCATTTAAAAAAAACAAAAATACAGAATATCTAGAAAATAATGACAATTGAAATACAAGATACCAGAATGTAAAGTGCTATGGCAGCACTGAGAGCAAAATTCATAGCCTCAATGTCTTTTATTAACAAAAGTGTGTCATAATGCTAGCTGTCCACCAAAAAATCAGTTTCTTCTTTCTAGGAACATAACTAGACAATAGAGAGAGAGAGAAAGAGATGATAGATCCCTCTCTATCTAACTATCTATCTATATATATAGTCTAGGTATATGTGTATGTACGAGGGTACTTCAAAAAGTTCATGGAAGGATTTATATTATCTTTTAATTCCATTTTTCCTGAACTTTTGGAAGTACCCTCGTATATAAACAGCAAGATTATACATATAAATATGTAGAGATATAGAAATATATCTATGTATCTATATAGTCTAGGTGTGTGTGTGTGTGTGTGTGTGTGTGTGTGTGTGTGTACACGTGTACAGTAATTGTGTTCCCAGAAAGAAGAAATCATGTGTGTATGTATATATAATCATTAGGGAGTTTCAAATTAAAACCATAATGAGATATCACTACACACCTATTAGAATGGCCAAAATCCAAAACACTGATAACATCAAATGCTGGTTAGGATACAGAGCAACAGGAACTTTAATTCATTGCTGGTGGGAATGCAAAATGTTACAGCCACTTTGAAAGACAGTTTGGTGGTTTCTTATGTAACTAAACATAGTCTTACCACACGATCCAACAATCACACTTCCAAAGGAGCTGAAAACTTATGACCACAGCAAAACCTGCACATGGAGGTTTAGAGCAGTTTTATTCATAATTGCCAAAACTTTGAAGCAACCAAGGTGTCCTTTAGTAGGTCATTGGATAAATAAAATGTGGTACATTCAAACAATTATTATTCGGTATTAAAAAGACACAAGCTATCAAGTTACAAAAAGACATGGAGGAACCTTAAATGCACATTAATAAGTGAAAGAAGCCAGTTCAGAAAAGCTGAATGATTCCAACTATATGACATTCTGGAAAAAGCAAAACTGTGGACACAGTAAAAATATTCTGTATGGCCAGAGGCTTGAGGGGGGAGGGGAGGGGAGGATGCATAGGTTAAGCACAGGGGATTTTTAGGGCAGGGAAAATATTCTGTTGATATTATATGTTGGACACGTCATTACACATATGTCAAAAGCCATCAAATGTACACACACATAGAGTGAACCCTCTTGAAAACTATGGGCTTTGATTGAAAGTGATGTGGCAATGTTGGTTCATCAGTTGTAACTAATGTGCCAAACCAATGCCTGATGTTGATGGTGGGGGAGGCTGTGTGTATGGGAGGGGAGAAGTATGTGAGAACTCTCCGTATTTTCCACTCAGTTTTGCTGTGAACCTAAAACTGTTTTTAAAAATAAAATCTATTAATTAAAAAGAAAAAGTGGTAGCAGAACAGACTGTACTAGGAAATGACTAAGTGTTGAATATTCTCTGTTAGTTTTTCTGGAACATAGTATGCTTTTTCAACATGTAGATTCAAGTATTTCTCTATTTCTAGAAAGTTTTCTAGAATTAATGTTTTTGTTTTTTGTTTTTAGTGGCTGGCATGTGTGGGGATCTGAAACCATGACCTTGGTGTTATAAGGCTGCACTCTAACCAACTGAGATAACTGCCCAGCCCTAAAATTAATGTTTTTAAAGCATTTGTTATTATTCCATTATTTTTATTTTATTCTTTGAGGACTCTGCATGTTTTGGATCTCCTTTGTAAATCTTCTACATCTATTATTTTTTCTTCCACATCTCTATTTTTAAAGTTTTCATTTCTGTTTTTATTTTTTTGAACACATATCAAGGATTTTATTGAACTCTCATTAATTCATAAGGGAACTAGTACAATGTTCTGCCTGTTTCAAAAAGAGAAACACACACACACACACACACACACACACCCATACATACCCATGTATGGGCAATTAAGAATGCTGAAATAAATATACAAGTAGGTACAAAACTGGTCAATATCCATAGAAAAATGATCAGTTTTTTCTCCATGGAACACAATTCACTTGCATTTCTGTGAACAAGAATGATTTACATTACTAACAGTTTCCTACAACTTACTGAGTTGAAAAATGGCTCAAGGATAATTCAGGTAGAGATAAAACTGAAGGGTACACTAGACAAGACACACAGTAATTTTTTTTTTCCTGTTTCAAAGACTTTTACAATTTTTCTTGAATAGTCTCCCATCCACCACCTTCCTCCATGATCATAATAATCTCAGAGAAATAGTATTCTTGATCGTGAAACAGGCTAGTTTCATTAGGTTTGCCCTGATTATTTACATCAGTACAGCGAGAGTATTAATTAACCAAATAAGCTTCCTTGAATTTAGTTTGCAAATCTAGAGCTATATAGTATCAAACAACTACTAAAGCCACAGATTTAACTTATGTCTAGACATTCTTATAGGGAATCTCAAACTGGACTTCTAAAAGCCTGTTATCATATGGTATTCCAAAGCTATGTAACCAAGTCCAAGAAGTTTTCTATACTGGATTTCACTTGCACTTATAAATTTGGAGAAAGTCATCTTATCTCAAGGTCCCCCAAATTTGCTAAGGTTCCTGGCCTGCCAGAATGTGAATTTCCTACTACTTTGAAGACTAGGGTCCTGTAAGTCAGGTACCAGGACAATTCCCTGAGAGAGCTTTATAGGCATTTGCTGCATAAAGTTGAGGTAAGGCAACCTTATCCCTTAAAAGTAGCTTATCACACCTGATGAAGTTAGTATCATTTCAAATATGATACTCTCTAGGTAAGGCCATGCGTAGTGGATTGAATTATGTTCCCCCAAAACTCATTGAAGCTTGAATTGTGTACCCTAAGTTTTATGTATTAGAAACTTAGCCCCCACTGTGACTGTTAAGAGGGTGGGAAATCCTATTATGGTAATTGAAAGGTGGAGCCTTGAAGTGGTGATTGGATTGTAGGACTGTGCGGTAGTGAATGGATTAAAAATGGTGGTCAGGGGCATGGTTCTGAGGGCTTTAAAAGAAGAGGAGAGTCTGTGTTTCTCTCTCTCTGCTCTGTTTCCACCATCTTGCAATGTGAGACCCCTGGGTCACTGTCACCACCACCAGATGGACTTTTGCCTTGACAGTCTCAGAAACTGTAAGCAATAAATTTCATTGCCTTGACAGTCTCAGAAACTGTAAGCAATAAATT